TTTTACAGGAAGATTTTCTCGGTCACCTAAAACTAGTCCGTTTGCCGTCGGAAGTAGTGCGATTTTGGTGAAACTTTAGGGCTCTGTCAAACCTACCTTACATAGCCGAATAATCTGATTATTTTACACACAAAAGTTTTAACTCTCATTAATAGTTTCAATGTTTAATGGTTGCATTCTGTGGAAAGTTGGCTGAGATATTATTTTTTGAAAATGACCTTTAATTTGCTCAGCAGGAAAAGTAATTTGCATAACTAGAGCTGAACGGTAATTTCGCAAAAGTGGCACCTGACCCAGACTCAAGTCTATGATAAATCAGAAGTACCAAGACCAGTCTACTTCTTAACGCAATAAAATTTTTGGGCACTCTTTTTTGCGTGCCTTTATAAAAAATAGCGTTAACGTCGAAAGCTTTATTATGATATTTGCTTATCGGGAGAAGGCAGATCTTTGTACATGGCACTATGATAAAAAAAAAAAATGCCCCACACTTTTTCTATCTTAAATTAGCGGTAAATTTCAGTTTCATTCAAAGATCTTTAAAGCGTTTATCGGTAGCTTATCGGTAGCAGAATGAAAAGGGAAAAATAGTTCCTTTTGTCAGTGAATAAACGCAAAAGGGAGTATCTTTTCAGTTTTTGTCAGGGTATAACATCCGAATTCCAACGATGATCTTGTTTTGGTTTCAATCTGATTGAATTATAATGCAACAGGTGCCAGTTTCAAATTAAATATAATTATGTCACTGAAATCGCCGAAGAGATCAATTGTGAAAAGAGATCGTAGACAGAGTGAGGTCCCGGAAGGGGTGTGGAGGAAAATGTGTTGGTCACAGAGTGCATGGATGATATTACCTCGCACTTAGCCAGCTGTCACTTGTCTAAGTGTAGCAAGTGTAGCAAAGACAATGAAAATGAACTCATTTTAGCGAGAGTACGTATTCGAGGCTTGGTGGGTATTCGGAACTGAAATGACAATCTGCCCAAGGCACAGACACTAAATAGCCTGTGTACAGACCCCCTCCTCTCAGGAAAAATCGGAGAAGGGGCCGCTTTTCCCAAGGGGGGGAGGGTAGTGTGTACACAGGCTAACACTAAAATGACAATCTGCTTTAGGCACAGGTTTTTGCGAGCGCCAAGGTCTTGTTAGGCTCGATTGTAAGCCGCTGTTCTGGAAAACGAGCCCCCAACGGACGGGGAGAGGGCGGAAATCGAGCCTAAGGTCTTGTCAATACCCCGGTCACACTCTGGATCATACTGGCAAAATAACTTCTGTGGCAGGAAGACACGTCGTAAATTTCCAGATAGCCAGCGAAATAAGTCGAAGTTTTGTTCCATCATTCTTTTTTCTTCTTCATGCAAACAATTGTCTTAACGTACAGAGATATTTTAATTTCTCTATTTAACATTTTATCTTGCGATGTTTTCTGAAGTTCTTTTCCAGTTTATTTGAGCTTGCAAAGATAGTTTTTGTTATTTCTATTTTTTTGACAGCCGTGTATCTTGCCCTAATCAATTCTTACCTTTAAAATACTATACATACCGGTTAATCCGTGTGTTGTAAAAGATAGTTTTCTGATGATTGTTTGAAGAGCATTATAAATGGGGAAAAAAGAACTTTCTACACGGAGTCAGGATTCAACCTCGTCCCCAGGGCTTTCCCGCCCCTGTCATTTTCTAAGAAGAATGTCCTGGGGACGAGGCTAGGAGTGATTGTGGTCGAGGTGTCGTTCACGTGTATGAAAAGTATTTCATTCTTGCAATAAAAATAACTTTTTTGAACTTAAACAGTGTTTAAAACATGTCTCTGGGTTTTGTAAAAATTAGTGATACTTAAAAGTACCTTAGTGTTCAGTTCAACTTTATATAGCCGATTTGCTCCTCCTGTCGCAAGAAAATTGAAAAAACTTGACGCCGAAGGGTCGAGAAGAGCACGATTGAACAGTCTGCAACCATGTCCACACATTTGCCGGAGAGGTTTATTGGACAAGATTTCTCTGTTTTTCTTGTTTGATAACGTTTTCATTAAGTCTTCAAAAATGCCTCCAGATTGCTGTTTTTTTTGTTTTTTTTTTTGTATTTATACCCTCTTGAACAATGTGCTCCATCTCACCTCTACATTTTTAACCTACTTTACCATCCACCCTCTCTCCCCACTGTTCCACCTCTACTTTAATAAGCATTTGTATTTAAGGGGGTGAAATTTCTCCCGTGTATATTAATTTCTGAAAAAATAAGTCCTTCTACTTTTTCCTTAAATTCTTAAACTTAGTTCTTTTTTCTTTAAGAACCACCAAAAGATGCTGCTAAGGCTGCAATAAGCGCACTCGCCCTTTTATATACTTCATCTAGTGAAATGCCCGCCCTTTCATACACCTGAAGCCTGAAAAAGATACTCCTTTCGGGCGGAACCTCCCCGTATAGGCCATCATAGGGAGTTCCCCCGACTCCCGTTCCAATTCCGTGCTCACCTATTGCCAGCCCATGTTGGACTCTAGGCC